TGACCCCGTTTATGCTTTACTCGAAGGGCAGTGTTTCTCACCCTTGCCATCTTCGAAAAATTTGAACTTCACCCCCCAGAATTCCCCAGCCAGCAGGTTGGCTGGGGAATTCTGGGAGTTAAAGTCCACATGTCTCGAAGTTGCCAAGGTTGAGAAACACTGCTCTACGAGTACAGCATAACCGTGTTCATCAGGGGTCATCACCTGTAGAACTAGACATACAGAATCTTCCAGACAGTCCTAAATGCTGCATTATTTGGACAGCAGTTCATGAACCTTTCATTGTGGTGAACCTTCCCCAATGCAGACAGTTCCATTGTGCTTGTAGCATTAGGTGTACAACTTTAAAGAGAAGACTTTTGTTGACCGCTACCCATATAAGGAGTTATATGCTTATTTAAAAAACCTTGAACATGGCTAAAGTTCATATCTTTGTTCCCATGAATTGATGGAACTAAATGCATCAAGGACCCGAGTCTGAAGCTGATTAGAGTTTTAAACTTCACTGCCAGTATCTTGTACAGCTGGGTGGCAACTCCCAGCCAACTTGTCTGTTGTCAAAAACGAATTCCCTTTTTAATACATCCTTCTTTAGTCTTTTTTTGAACAGTGATTCGTATAAGGTGAACATTTTATTAATGTTTCCAGCTGTTTTAATTTGTTAATTCCCTGAATTATGTCTTATAATTCAAATTTCCATTGGCAATACATTTCTAGTAATACCTACTCTTTTCATTTCACTGAAAAAGAGTCAATATTGACATATGCAGGTTGTAGCTGCATTACACTCATTCTTTCCAAAAGATCTTAAGTTTTTATTGAGTGGATTTAATACAAAGAATGGATTTTTAACCAAATAAAACTGGGGATTTAGTTTAAGCATCTAAATCTATGCATATCCAGCTCCTTGGGTTCTGCAGGGCTTATTCCCAGGTTAAGGGTTGTAGGAGGAATGATCCTAATTTTCTGAGTTTAAAGAATGAAAACCGAATGCAATCATTATGTTTGTCCAAAGTAGTTTAGAGCAAAGTAATGAATGCATTTTCTTCCTGTATGAAGGGGAGTTTTGTCTTACAATATGATGTACTTGTTCACTTTTTTTAATCTGGATATTTTACATTTATCATAAGACCTCTCATAAATATCTTCATTTAAACAGAACTGCGTAGAGATTGTTGATAAAAGAGGAAAAGAAAAATGGCACATTGATCAGTTAACAGAGGAGGATGGTGGGAAATATACATGTGTAAAAACAGTTGTTCATGCAGGAAAGAGATACAACAGCACAAGTACCACCCGTTTAAAAGTTAAAGGTGAGGCTGTGTAAAATTGTTAAATGACTTGGGACAACAATCTGTGATATTCTTGCTCTATGGTTGCAGATTTGAATTTTGGGATCTTATGCAGTAATGGAGAACTCAAGAAAACACAGCACAGAGAGAGTCTTTGTTATCCTCTTAGATTTATGGATTACAATTGCTTAAGCTGCACACACTCATACATGTACTGGCTAGGTAATGCAGGCGGAGGAAACGGAGGTTCGGTAGATGGTTGTGTGCACAGATAGTGTCTTCTGACAAGTCCTCTGTACAGCCCTTCATTTTTATCTTGTGCCAGCAGCCGTTCATCACATGTCACCTCAGCTGTCAATCCTTCATACTTGTTGGCTGGATGACTGGGTGAAGCAAGTCTTACTGCTTGATAGTCATTTTTACTCATTGTGGGCTATCATCCGGCCTTGTCAGGTTTCCACTGATATCAGCTTGCTTGTTCCTCTGAGTGCATGCCACTCATTTTCGTTCTTATATTATATAAAATGTATCATACTTCTATTTTGAATATGATATTAGAAGACTACCAGTCCAACATAACTGAAAATTATTCTGCTGTACTGGATATTCCTCCCCTTAGAGATGAAAATTCAACTATATAACTCTAAGAAGTACCTCTTAATGTCAGAAGAGCATTTTCACAGAGAGGCTGTTGCCTACTGCAGAATCAGTATGAGATCATGATGTCATCTCTGTCTGACCAGATTTATTTATTTCTGCCTCAGCTATAGTGCTTATGAAATCACCTGAAAGGGATCTCCCATTAGAAATATCAAACCTTAGCATAGTTTGTAGAAAGCTGTTTTCCTATTGACTGGAATACTTGCCTCAGCCTTCCTCAAGCAGACAAGCAGTGTTTTCAAGGCAAAAGGAAAATGATGGCTTGGCAGCTTAGCAGATGATCCATGTAACAAGCACTCATTTATTTTTATGTGCTATCAGATAAACAAAAAACATGGATGGAAGGAGATCAATGTGTCTTCTTTCCTTTTGTATGGAGTGGATTGTAGTATGCCATAAGACCGTTTAGAATATGTCCAGTGTAACAATTTTGTAGTTATTTGCAATAAATTTGAAGTAAAGAATTGGGATATCCTATGTTAACAATCCATGGCTAAGGATCTTAAAATATTAAATATGTTTCTTATTATCTTATGAGAAGTAATTCACAAAATATTATTTTTCACTGAACACACCAGAGAATGTTTATAAAGGATTGAATGTCAACCTCATTATGTTCAGGGTTAGGGTAAGGTGAATAAGGGCCCATTCATCTGTTATGGGTTTTTCCACTGTTGTCCCATTTTGGTTATCAAAAAATTGAAACTGATCACTGTACGAAGAATTATGGATTTCTTGAGCATGGGGTAAGCAAAAAGAAAGAAAGAAAAGAAAAGATTAATATTGGAAAGGCAGTGTACACCCTGATTTACAAACTTGGACTGCAACATGTGTTTATTTCTGTTTATGAGCTCACTGTTTATGAATGTAATGGATAGATTTATTCCATGTGGACAGTGCCTAATAGTATGTTAAAAAATTAGTCTAAATGAGTTCATTAATATAAAATAGAATAATATGTGTTTGTTGTCCCTCCCCT